GGGCTCACGCCTGGCCCTGCCGTGTTGGAGAGTGACCGTCTCGGTGTCTCCAGTTGCTCATGTGCAAAGCAGGGGTGGCAGGATACTGTGAGGGTCCTAGTTAGATGTGTATGAAGCACACGACCAGGGCTCACTTAGTCCTGGTTGATACCGTTGTCATCGTCATCATCATCATCAGGTGCTGGGGGAGTATGGGTGGGGGAGGGGAGGGGAAGGAAGCTGTCCCCGGTCAGGAGTTTCTGGCTGGGAGGGCACCTGGGAGGTGCTCCTCACCCCTATGCATCCCCATGGACTCAGGGAACAGAAACTCTGACCCCTCCAAGGGGCCCCCCTGAAGGGAGGGGGCTGGGCAAGCTGCAGAATCTAACCTTGTCTCCCTCACCCTCTTCCTGACCCCACCCCATCCAGTGGCGATGGATGATGAGGATGGGAGATGCTTACTAGACGTGATTTGGTGAGTAATGGGCTCCCCACCCCCACCCTCCCCTGCCCGCCCCTCCCCAGCTCCTTACCTCCTCAGTGTCTCTTGCTCTTTTTCTTCCAGTGACCCTCAGGCCCTCAATGACTTCTTGCATGGATCCGAGAAGGTAAGTCCTGGGGCAGGGAGCAGCATTCCCCACTTGGGGGCTGCATGATTGGGGGTGAGAAACAGTGAGACACGTATCCCCTTAATTCAGTGGACATCTGCCCTGTGTCTTCTAAGAGCCAGACATTGGAGTCATGGCAGTGAACAAAACCGATGGTAAATCCCTGCTCTTACGCCATGTATATCTCCTTGGTGAACAAAGGAACTAGTAACTGGGGCCGGGAAAAGTGGCTCACACCTATAATCCTAGCACTCTGGGAGGCTGAGGTGGGAGGATCCTTTGAGCTCAGGAGTTCGAGACCAGTCTGAGCAAGAGCAAGACCCCGTCTCTACTAAAACAGAAAAAATTAGCTGGGTGTGGTAGCTCATGCCTGTAGTCCAGCTACTCAGCTACGCTGAGGCAGGAGGATCACTTGAGCCCAGGAGTTTGAGGTTGCTGTGAGCTAGGCTGACGCCACGGTACTCTAGCCTGGGCAACAGAGTGAGACTCTGTCTCAAAAAAAAAGAAAAGAAAAGAAACTAGTAACTGATAACAGTAATAGTGAAAAGCACCATGCAGAGTATGATTAAAAAAAAAAAATTTGTCACTTGCACAAGAAAAAAGGTTTAAAAGAAAATCAATGGGTGCAGTGTGGTCAAAGAGGGTCACCCTAAGGAGGTAACACGGAAGGTGAGACCTGCAGAATCAAAGGGAGGTGGCCAGAGTGTTCCTGGCAGGAGGAAGAGCAAACACAAAGATGGGAAAGCGCTTTCAAGGAGCAGAAAGAAAGCTGGTGGGGCCAAACTGAAGGGGAAACTAGTAGGAGGCTGAGATGGCAGTAGAGAGCAGTTACCAGGTTATGCAGGTCTAGAAGGCCCTAATAGAGGAGTTTTGATTTTCATTCCGAATGTGACAGACAGTTCTGTTGGGTTCTTAAGCCGGAGAATGCTATATTTAATTTGTTCCCTGGAGAATGGAATGAAGTGGGGAAGAGTAGAAGTCTGTTGAACTTTGAGGAGCTTTTAGGTCATTAAATATGAAATGTCCAATTTAGAATCAAAAGTTTAGTTTATTATATCTCAAACAAGAAGCAGTACAGTTAATCAAAGTATGTGCCTAAACTATCCACACAGTTTTGCCATCTTAAGGGTAGCTTGCTTACGCCAGCAGCAAAGAAGCCTGGAGAGTGAGTGATGATGAAATCACAAAAGGCGTTTTCCACAGCTTGTTAAGAATTGAATATTTTTTCTTGTAAGAAGTGGTCCAAAGTCTGGGGCCGGGCGCGGTGGCTCACGCCTGTAATCCTAGCTCTCTGGGAGGCCGAGGCGGGCGGATTGTTTGAGCTCAGGAGTTCGAAACCAGC